GTGAACAGAGTGATAAAGATCAAAATACAGGGACGTGATTCATGACACAAGTAGCCTGACCAACAGCTCTCCTTGTATGAATAAAGCATGCTCCACTTCTCTCACGCATCCTAACCCCACCACCACCACCCCGGTTGACAACTGCCGGCACTAACATAGTGCTAAGCTAGCGGTATGCAATACTGATGTGCTAGCTAGGATGGTACAGACATTGTACTCCGCTTCACTCATGCATCCTACCCCCCACCCACACCTGGGTCAACAACTGCCAGTACTGATGTAGTACTAAGCTAGTGTGCATCACAGATGTGTCTCCTCCTCCTCTCCCCTCCCTGTGGACTAAAAACCCCGTAATAATGAGCACACTGCCAAGGCAAGTGACCTAGAGGAAACACAGCATGCAGTGTGGAAAGTTGTAGGTAACCAGGAAAAAATGGAATAGACTTTTAGTGCTTTGAGTATTCTCCCATTAATCAAGTGAAATTGATTTGTTCATGAAGAAATAGAAACAGCACTGGGTGAACTAATATTTCATGGTAAATGTGTGTGTCTGTGTGTATTGGGGGTCCAAATGAGTATTTGTTAAATGTGAGTAGAACATGCCCCCTTCATGTATAATTGATGCAACACCTATGAGTTAGTGGCATTAATAACTTTTGACCCACTGCATACACAATGACAAGGTCATGCTTGTCCATGACTCAAGCTACAAGAAAATGATTGTCAGACTAACGTCTGCTTCTGTTTTTCTTCTGCTTTGTTCAGGAACCCAGCAACAAGCGTGTCCGTCCTCTTGGCAGGGTGACGTCACTTGCCAGTCTCATCTCTCCGGTTAAGAATGGGGCCGTTAGGCGCTTTGGCCAAACTCTCCAGGTAGCCTCTTATAGCATCCTACACAAAGATAACTTGTTGGGGTGAAGAATTGTATTGGCATCCCTGACAAATGTCTCCTCCCTTTGTTTGTGTGCAGGCCTCTCTCCGGGGTGATGGTAAGTCACCGGGCGTGCCCCAGAAGCCTTGCACAAAGGCACCCACACCACCTAAAAGGAGGAACAGCGTCCTGTGGTCAGAGACAATAGATGTCCATCAGAAGGGAACGTTCTCCACCGAGGAGATCAAACGACAGGAGGTGAGCCCCGAGGCCCTGTTTACACGTTTTCTGGAATCCATTTCTGGAAAATGTTGGGATTTTTTTGTGTGTGTTTTTTCAATGTTGATTAGTGGCCAGAGAAGTACCAGTAATCAAAAACTCACTTTTAAATTACCCAAACTATCATATGTGCTGGGTGAGGTGTGCTTTTCTGGAGGGAGAAGTTCTAAAAAGAGTAATTATGTATATCTGGCAACACTGATGTATATTGTTATGCACATGTAGAGATGCATGCAGCATGAGAAACAAAACCGTTACATCCAAAATGTTGAATGCAGGAATGTTCGTGTAGAATGAAGATGAGTTTGGACTGCTCCTGCACCTTAAGAAGGGTGTGTTGGACAAACTTTACCACCAGCTGTTGCATCGTGTTCCTCTGCTGCTCACACAATCGCAGAAAAATTACTGACTGCAGCTGTGGGTGATTTCACACCTCCCAAAAACCTCCACTCCGAGACCTGGATTCCAAAACCTTAGGTCTCATAGAGAACAAGCTCTGTTGGCATGTAAATGGACTGTACATGGACTGTACAGCGCCTTTCTATCTTATTTCAAGATATTCAAAGCGCTTTACACTACAATCTGTGTCCTCATTTACCCATTCATACAGCACTCTACTAGATCTCTACAAAGCTAATTGAACAACTCATTCTAATGAGACTAATCAGTGCTTTTAGATCACATTCATACACTGATGGGACACACATCAGAGGCTATGAGGGGTTCAGTGTCTTGCCCAGGGACACTTTGGCATGTGACTGCTGGTGGATTCGAACCCCCAACTCTTGTATTGGAGGATGACTGCTCTAACCACTCAGCCACAGCCGCCCCAAGTACTAGAACATCTGAACCGCAGCAGAAAAGTGATGCTTTCACTCAGAAAACATGTCTTGTAAACAGGGACTGAGACATAGAGATGAAAGAAAAGCCAAGTGACAATTCAGAAAGACCCTATTTACCAGAGCAATGTAAAAAAGCCTTGAAGTATTTGTCTAAAACAGTTTGGCCAAGGTTAACATTTATCCAAGCCTCATTTCTGGCCACTTTAACCTCACATACAGTATACCTGATTAGCCAATGATCTCACTCACATAACTTTATTTCTTCCGTTTCTTCTGTTCAGGCTATATTTGAGCTGTCTCGTGGAGAACAAGACCTTATCGAGGACCTCCAGCTTGCACGCAAGGTTTGTACAAAAGTAAATAAATAAATAAAACTCTGAAGCAGAGGGAGCACATTTAAAAGCAAACAAATTAAATCAAATTCTGGCAGGACGTCCATGCAGTCCAGCCAGGATTTACAAAAAACAGGAATTGCTTCTGTCTCTCAATGAACTATGCTTATAAATTGCCACACTTTGCTTGTCTCAATATTGAAATGTTTTTTGTTTTTCTTTGCAGGCGTACCATGACCCTATGCTGAAGCTTTCTATAATGTCTGAGGAGGAACTAACCCACATCTTTGGCAATCTGGATGCCTACATTCCTCTTCACGAAGACCTGTTGGCTCAGCTCTCTAAAGCAACAGGACCAGATGGGACCGTGTGTCAAATTGGGCAGATTGTAGTTAGATGGGTAAGTGTCCTTTAACAAAACTTTACAAGGACTGGCGTTCTTCTAAAATGTGCCTTTGTACATAGACTGACATTAAAGAAATTATTCTTGTATTGTTTTTCTGTAGCTGCCCAGGCTCAATGCCTACAAGGACTACTGCAGTAACCAGCTGGCAGCCAAGGCACTGCTAGATCTAAAGAAGCAGGACCCACGGGTGCAGGATTTTTTACAACGCTGCCTCGAGTCACCATTCAGTCGGAAGCTGGATCTGTGGAGTTTCTTGGACATCCCACGATCTCGCCTGGTCAAATACCCCTTGCTGCTCAAAGAAATTCTGAAACACACTCCAGCAGAACATGCTGATGCCAGCAGCCTGGAGGAGGCAGTAAGTACAGCACAGCAACCAGTGTCACTGAAGGGGCAATGTGTCCATCACATACTCATCAGATTCTCTGTGTTTAGATTTACATCATTCAGCATGTTCTTTCTGACATCAACATGAAGAAAGGGGAATCTGAGTGCCAGTACTACATCAAGAAGCTGGAGTATCTTGACGACAGGCAGAGGGATCCTCACATCGAGCAGTGCAAAAGCCTTTTGTGTCATGGCGAGGTGCGCAACAAGAGTGGCACGGTGAGAAGACACTTTGGTTGTTTACCTCTCCAAAGCAGTTTTTGTTGTCATGCAAGGAATCAAGATTTATGGATTAATTTTTTTTTTTAATTCTGACTGTTTATAGAAGCTGCATGTGTTTCTGTTTACGGAGCTTCTGGTCCTGACTCGCTCCGTCACCAGAAATGAACGTCAGTGTTTCCAAGTTTACCGCCAGCCAATCCCAGTGCGGGACCTGGTGCTGGAGGACCTGCAGGATGGAGATGTCAGAATGGGTGGCTCCTTCCGAGGTGCCTTTAGCAATGTGGACAAAGGTAAAGCCTGCGCAACACTGTTGGTAAAAGAAAATGTTCCTATATTTGTTTTTGTTTCTCAGTTTCTCATTTTTACTTTCTCTGCAGCAAAGAACATTTTTCGTGTGCGTTCCCAAGATCCAAACCAGGCGCAATCCCACACCCTGCAGGTCAATGATGTCTTCCACAAACAGCAGTGGCTTAACTGTCTCCGCAGCGCCATTTCCACCCACCAGCCCCTCAGTGAGCCTTCTAACCCAAGTGATGCTACACAGTGCTTGTCCGCCATAATCCATCTGCAGGAAGCAGACGAAAACTGCCCACGGCCAGTCTCAGAGTCCACTCCTAGCTCACCACGCAGCCCCACCACACCATCACCTTCAACCCGCTCATCGTCTTCATCTTCATCATCATCGCCACTTTTCTCAATGACATTACCAAAAAACAAAAAGGACAGAAAGTCTCTGTGTTCCTTAGGGAAACGCAAAGAGACCATGGTGTGAAGTGAGATGAAAATGGACTGTTGACCGGACACTTTTTTGGGTCTTGTAGATGTTTGTATCATTATGACAGTGTTTTATGTTACTGTCCTCTTTGGCAGCTATCCAAGTGTGTTCCCTAGAGCCAGTGTTGTGGAGAAGGTGCACAAATTCCACTGGCTCAAAAAGGAAAGTGCGAACCCGGATTTTCCAATGACTTTGTGTCATGACTCTGAAGTGAAGATCAAATCTTGTTTACTTTTAAATTGGTATTTAAGTCTAATTTTAGACCTGTTTCTGGGGGCTAATGAAAGTTTTACATATTTATACTCAAAATATATTGTACTTTTTATAGTTTTTCTTTTTTTTATAGTACTGTTTTAGCTTTTAGAACACTTTTTTGTTTGTTTGTTTGTTTCTTGAATGTAAAGAAGAAAACAAAAGATGAGATGTAAAGCTTTAAATTAATCGGAGGACTTGTCTTTATGGTGTCTTCATGTGATGCATTCCTTAAATGACAGATATGAATCCTGGGCACACAACTGAGGCATTAATTTAAGCCCCAAACTAATTAAATCTTGGTTTTCCCGCTAATAAAAGCAAAAACTGCAAACCATGAGATGGTATAGTTATATTAAAGAAGAAATGACAAGTTTTGTTTTAAAACAAAACTTTGAACTGAGCCATGTTGGCTACTTTTTAAAGCTGACTTTTCAGTATATCTTAAGACGTAGCTCTGTCCTTTTGGTTCAGGACGGTGTGAACAGAATGGTAAAGAAAGTGTTGAATCTTGAAGAGAACAGGGGTGTGCTGATAAGGTTGACGTGAAATATTGCTCATGGAAGATGGACAGTTTTGTAGTACGAGTAGCTGATGGTAAAAGTACGTAGGGGAAAGTAGTTGTAAAATGGCTTTTGTAAACGTAGAAGGCGTATTGGTACAGGAGGTTGAAACCTAAAAAAGGGCAACATGTTTGCCAAAGTTTTTATGGATATAAAAGAATAAAGATCTGTGTAAAATTTGCAACTAAACCCTTGATGTCATGCATTTTTTTATTGCTCACTGTCTTTAAAGGTGATCAGGCAATTGCCTTAGTGTTTGTTGTTAGCAAAATATCTCATGAATCACTGACAATGTTATTGAAACTCTGAATTTAATCAATGGGTGTATGTCTACATTTGTAGGTTTCCTATCCCATCTGCAATTCACACCTTAGTCTTAAACCTAACCCCTCATCAAGACTGCTCCTTATGGGGACCTGGCTTTGATCCCCATAAGGAGCAGTTGGTTCCCACAATGCATGATTTTTTGTGAAATTGGTCCCTACAAGGTAACCTGAAACATAAACACACATGCACATACAGAGACAGTTATGTACAGGCTTTTATCTTTTTGGACAGAGTCACCACAGGAGCACTTCTCTCCCTTTTTTTTTTTTTTTTTGTTTGATCTGTCATTCATAATCTGTTTGAAGAGTTTCAGTCAGGGTTTAGAGCTCATCATAGCACAGAAACATCACTAGTAAAAGTCACTAATGATATTCTCATGGCCTCAGACAATGGACTTGTGTCTCTACTGGTCCTGTTAGACCTCAGTGCTGCATTTGATACAGTTGATCATAATATTTTACTACAGAGGCTTGAATATGATGTTGGGATTACAGGAACAGCTCTAAAACGGTTTAAATCATATCTATCTGATAGATTCCAGTTTGTAAATGTAAATAATAAATCTTCATACACCAAAGTCAGTCATGGAGTTTCTCAGGGCTCAGTGCTTGGGCCAATACTCTTTACTTTATATATGCTTCTATTAGGTAAAATTATTAAACAGCACGGGATAAATTTTCATTGTTATGCTGATGACACACAGTTATATTTGTCCATTAAACCCAATGAATCCAATCAGCTACTTAGACTACAAGCATGTCTTAAAAGACATAAAAACCTGGATGACCCTTAATTTTCTCCTGTTGAACACAGACAAGACTGAGGTTTTGGTTTTTGGACCTGAGCACCTTGGGAATGAATTTTTCAGTCTTTCTCCCTCCTTAGATGACATTAATCTGTTCTCCAGCTCTAATGTTAAAAATCTTGGTGTTATTTTTGATCAGGACATGTCTTTTATCCCCCACATTAAAAACGTTAGTAGAACCACCTTCTTCCACCTGCGTAATATCACTAAAATTAGAAACATCTTATCTAAAAATGATGCAGAAAAACTGCTCCATGCATTTGTCACGTCTAGACTGGACTATTGCAATGGTTTATTATCTGGGTGTCCAAATACTTCTTTAAAACGTCTTCAGTTGATCCAAAATGCTGCTGCCAGAGTCTTAACTGGAGTTAGTGGGAGAGATCATATCTCTCCAGTTTTAGTTTCTCTCCATTGGCTCCCTGTCAAATCCAGAATAGAATTCAAAATCTTACTTCTAACCTACAAAGCTCTCAACAAACTAGCTCCATCTTATATTACAGATCTTATTGTTCCATATTTTCCTAACAGAGCACTTCGCCCTCAGGCTGCAGGTTTACTTGTGGTTCCTAGAATTTACAAAAACAGAATGGGAGGCAGATCTTTCAGTTATCAGGCTCCTCTCTTGTGGAACCAACTTCCAGTCTCTGTCCATGAGGCTGACACATTATCCAGTTTTAAAACTAGGCTTAAGACTTTCCTTTTTGATAAATCCTATAGTTAGGGTCTGCTTGGGTTTCCTGAGCTGTCCCTTAGTTATGCTGCTATAGACTTAGACTGCTGGAGAACAAACTGACCACAATTTTCACTCTGCTGCTGTCTTTACTTACTCTGCTCAACCTGTTTTGTATTTGTAATTATTTTTTCTATCCTTAAAATGTGGGGTTTTTTTGTCTTTCAGATACACCTGGACCTACCATTCTGTGTTCGTCTGTCTCTCCTTCCTGTCCTCTCAACCAGCCGGTCAAAGCAGATGGCCGCTTGTCCTGAGTCTGGTTCTGCTGGAAGTTTCTTCCTTTTAAAAGGGAGTTTTTCCTTTCCACTGTTGCCACTGTGCTTGCTCAGGATGGGAGACTGCAACGAAGCCAAGATTCATCTTGTCTGCTGGATTCCTTAGATAGAGAACTTTACTAATTGGCTTTTATGTGAATGTTTCTGTAAAGTGCCCTGAGACAACTTTGTTGTGATTTGGCGCTATATAAATAAACTGAATTGGATTGAATTGAATTCACAATTTAAAGCCCTAATATGTCTCTACCACTTTAGTATCAACACATTTAAATACAAACAGGGTCTAAAAGGTATAAATGTAGTATCACATTGGACTGCATCCATTAAAGACTAGTTGATAACTCAAAATTGTGGGAAAACTCATAATCTTTTATTGTCATTGATTTTGGCACAATTTTTGAAAATCAAATATTTTTGGGTGGACATTTTAAAACTATTTTTGGCCACGCACATTATTTTGTTGCTCACCTTTTCCCACACCTTAACTCACTTTGTACCTACAGCCAAATCTTCATTTATCATTTGATCAACTAGTGCAGTGGTCTCAAACCTTGTATAGCAAGTAGTACCACAAACAACAAGCCCGTCAAGTACCACCCATTGTGACAGAAACCATAGTAAATGTTTAAATTTAGATTCTAGAGGTGTGGTACCTCAGTCTGTCAGTGCTGTGTTCTGGTAATCCCAAGGCTGCAGGTTTGAGCAGGTTGTGACAGGAAGGGCATCCAATGTACAACATCTGCCAAATCATTCATGTGAGTTTCCATGTTGTGGCAACCTCTGAGCAGCTGAAAGAGCAACAACAGTAAAAGCTTAAATTCATAGTTTATACAAACTGGCCAAATCCTTTACCCCAGATGATGAATACAGTTTAAAATGTGAAGATTTCATTGAGTTATTGCTCTGAACAATACCATACTATAGTCTTGGGTTTTTATCTGCCCCACAACTGAATACATATTTAAGATTATTTTAATCAAAGTTTCTCGTTATTTTGCAACTTTTTGTTACTAATAGATTTTTTTGAAATGTCACTGATTCTACGTAAGTAACTACTACAACATCAATTATTCATGGTCTACTCCAGGTTTTCCAGGGGTTCTCAAAACATTTTTCTTTGAGATATTTCCATTTGGAGCCTTATTTTCAATGTTTAAATCACTTATCCTTTTGACTAGCTCAGCTTTTTAAAATTTACTTCATGGTTCATCTATAATAATTAGGAGTTGGGGTTAGGTATACTAGGGCAGCACGGTGGCGCAACTGGTAGAGCTGCTGCCTCTCAGCGAGCAGGTCCCTGGTTCAAACCCCGGTCCAGGGGCCTTTCTGGGTGGAGTTTGCATGTTCTCTCCGTGCATGCGTGGGTTTTCTCCGGGT